AAAAAATTAATTTTCATTAAAACAAAAATAACTGTCCACCTGGTGAACTATCATTCAAGTGAACCTGATATACTTAAAGGCTATGGTAATAAATTTGATGTTAAAAGTTCTGATTTATTTATTTATTGTAGGGAAGGGTTTACAGGGTGTTCAAGGTCTCACTACTAGATCGGACTCATAGTTATCGGTCTGTTTATCCAAGAGCTGGGGTTACAGGCTCGCACCACCACGCCCAGTCTCAATTGCCCCTTCAGTGCGCTCCAGGGGCGGGGCTGGCACAGCAGGCCTGGGGCTTTGTTTTGAGACAGAGCCTTTGTATACAATTCAGGTTAGCCTTGAACTCATAGTGATTCTCTTGCCTCAGCCAGATTGCTGGGATTACAAGTTTATGCCACCACACACCCCCTTGGGGGGTTTTTTGTAATTTTTTGAGCCTATAGGCTTGAACTTGCAATCCTAAAATGTCTGAATTTATGGATGATCTGCGTGCTACCTCAGTGCATGAATATTTTCCAAATGATCCATATATAATGTGACAGAATCTTGCGTTAGTAAAAAGCCCCATCAAAATAAAGCATAGGAAAAAAACCCATAGGGATAGGTATTGAGGCTGAGGTAATATTTTAAGGGCAACTTAGCAAAACCCTGTCTTGAAAAGTCCTGGATTATAGTTCATTGTGAAGATTCTGGGTTCAGTTCTAAGAACCTCAAAAACAAACAGAAAAACCCACCATAGATCGATCAGTGGCTCATAAAGTGAGTGAGTATGCAAGTTTGTGGTTCCAGATTACACATCACTATAACCACTGGTCAAGTTGTGCTGTAATATCCATAAAGAATACAAATATGCAAGTACGTGATTGGACTAAGAAAATACTCTCTTTTCCAATTACATGCCTCTGGATGGGTAGATTTTCTTCAAGGATATAAATTAAAAGAGCCTGTCACAACAGTTTGAATGTAGTAGGAGCTATTATCTTTTGAGTCAAACTTCAATGAGATTTGTACACACATGTCATTCTTAGCATTATTATTTTTTTCTTACCATTATTTTTAGGTGTATACAGAATTTAAAAAATAATTTACCAACTACAGGAGATTAAATTCTCTCCTTTAAAAGAAAAATTATAGACTAGTACAATATCAAAGGAGTTATTTAACCAATTCTTATATAATGATGTGCTTGTGCTTTGTATCCCTAATACACAGAGCTGGGAAACAGGAGAAATGCTTGCCTGTCTCTTAGGAATTAAAAATGCTCAGGCACATATATTTTTTAAAATTTTTGTTGGCACTCATTTTATAGTACAAAATGATTGTATTTCTCATGAGGAGTTGGTACACGCACATCATACATCGTCATTTTTTTTTTTTTTCTCAATCCATTGTCCACTCCATCTCTTGGTCCCCTTCTCTTTTGCTGTCTTATATTTCTTGCCATCATACTTTTTTAAATTATATACACAAACTACTTTTAAAAAAAAAAATAGACCTAGGCTGAGGATATAGCTCATTGTAGTGACTGCCTACATGTGTGAGGCTGTGGACCTGATCCCTTATACCACCATCCTCCAGAAAAAGTCAAAAGAACAGAAATTCCTCTAATGGCAGAACTGTCTGTTAAGGGACTATTAGAAATGTTTTTAAATGCCTAGAATTAAGTGAACAGCTTAATCCAAAACATACTTAAATGTTAAACCCGGGAAATCTTTAAAATGTTCTCTGAAGGCTTTGACATTGTAAAGTTTCCTTAATTTGCTTCAAGATTTTTCAAATTTGAGGTACCCATAATGTCTCTTTGGAAAGTAGGTTGGTGTCCATGATTGAAATTAGGAATAGGGGGAAAAGGCATTGGTTATATTTTTGAAGATGTGTGTCAAGAATAAATTATTTTGGTCTTCCTATCAGGAATGGCTTTGTGTTATATTTGTAAAAGGTTATCTTGTTTTAAAATCAAACTTACAGGATTGACTCTTGAATTCTAGACTAACTTTGAATAATTGGACCTGCAGATTGATTACCCACCATTCGAAAAAAATTTTTACAATGAACATGAGGAGATAACCAACCTCACTCCACAGCAGTTAATAGATCTTCGGCATAAGCTCAATCTTCGGGTAAGATAAGGATTAACCAAGTATTCTTACATTAATGATAATTAGTCCAGGTTTAATTGGATTGGACCATTAAAAATGGTCCCTGAGATGTCGTTACTACAATAATAACTATATCCCTTGTGCTTATGTCATGGTTTGATTGTTTCAGTCATCCAGATGATACTTTAAGATTGGACACTCCTTTCTGATGTGGGAAGACATGGCTAATTTAAAATATATGTGCACTAATTTTAGAATGTTTGTTTAAATGATCCACTAAGAAGTTCTGGGTTGCTTATTTGGCCATATTATTTAAGGTGCTGCTAGATGTTAGTAATGAAGCTCAGACAGTATGCTGATGTGTTATTTGTGTGGACAGTTTTCTGGCCTATGTCTGCCTTATCAGTTACATGATATTTGAAAATGTAGTTTTTGAAGGGGTAGCATATATATATATATATATATATATATATATATGTTTGTTTGTACTTACCTGTTTTCCCAGAGATTAACTCTTCTACCAAAAATCTTTTTATGAAATCCTGATTGGAAATATCAGCATCATTAGAGAAACATTAAAAGATTACCACTGTTGGAGTCACAATAGAGGTTATTAGTCCTATACTTCCCCTGTACACAGTTGTAACAGTGCTTGACAATTGGTGGACCATAAGTAGGAGAGATTCTTAACTTTTCAGCCGGTGGTAGATTATGTCTTTGCACCCATGGGTATATTCTTGTGATATATGAACTTATTTGCAAATTTTTATTTTTCCTAGCATCTGATTGATATTTATGCAAAATGGCCAGAAATAACAATGACTTTCTGCAATCCATTGCATAATTTTTTTTCCATTTATTTCTAATATGTGAATTTTGTTTTAAGCATTTTTAGGTACTTTTATCATTTTGAATTATGACAGATCCTCATACTGTTTGAGGTGTTGCCTTTTCAGTGGTAGGATTTTGTTGTTGTTGTTGTTTCCAGTGGTAGGATTTTGGTTGGCTACAGATTTAAGTTTTTACTTCTTACACTGAAGCTAAAATGCTAGGTGTGGGTCTGCACTGTTGAGCTTCCAAGAGCTATTTATGTTGATGTCATTCCTGGGAGTTGTCTCTGTCTCTAGGTCTCTGGTGCTGCACCTCCTAGACCAGGGAGTAGTTTTGCTCATTTTGGGTTTGATGAACAACTCATGCACCAGATTCGGAAATCTGAGTACACACAGCCCACTCCAATACAATGTCAGGTAAGTAAAAATAATGAAAGAAAAATGGAGTAGAATGATATGCCATGACTATATTTAGTTGACAAACAAGTCAAAGCAGTTTTTTTAAAAATATCAATATAGATAGAAGGTGCTAGTTTTTTAACTTTTCCTGTATTGGTGGGGGACCATATATGAAACATAGGAACATTTTTGAAACTCTTAAACATTAAGTAAAGAAGTTGCTAGCTAGCTAGAACATGTTTTTTGTACCTGATAAGTACATAAAGCTACGATATGAAGAAAATTATTACCTTACATAAAAAAGATTTGTACAGGAAAAATTTGGCATTATCAGTAACTGGAATTCTTTTGTCCATGACTCGAAATTTTTCATTTATTATTAAAGTAATGGCTTCTCTTTCTTACTCGTATATGGGACTCATTTATTCCTGCGGAGATGGGATTGCTTGTACTTTTTCAATGAGAGAATATTTTTTAATTGTAGCAGCTAATGGTTTTGTTGTTGTGTTTGTTTATTTAAACAGGGTCTGACTATGTTTGGCCTTGAACTAACAGTGATCCTCCTGCCTTGGCCTCCCAAGTGCTGGGGTTATAGGCATGTATCCACGTTACAGCCATGTTAACCAAGTCTGGTTAATAGCTGCTTTGATAATAAATTCATTTTTCATTTCTGTGTATCAGGAAATTGAGTTATTTATATTCTGTAAGTGGTAGCTAATCAACATGAAGGCAGTGATGTTTGTCTTATAAATAAAGAAGCTTATGGGTATGTCAGCTGTTTTCTCAGTTTCACAGACAGTATATATGGTCCAAGATATTTTTGTTCCATTGAAAATAAATGTCATTAATAAGTTATCCTTCCCTAGAATTTACTTAGGTTTATCTTTACATTTAAAATTTGAGAGTGGATGTACTCTATTTTTCTCCAGGGTGTACCTGTGGCATTAAGTGGTAGAGACATGATTGGTATTGCTAAAACAGGCAGTGGAAAAACTGCAGCTTTCATCTGGCCCATGTTGATTCATATAATGGACCAGAAGGAATTGGAGCCAGGTGATGGACCAATTGCAGTGATTGTGTGTCCTACAAGGGAGCTTTGCCAGCAGGTATGTGCTTTGTGTAAGTGCCTGTTTGTTCATGTGGACTGTGAAGGGATTCTTACTACTTTTGGGGGGGCAGTGGTGTATGGGGGCCAAACTCAGCGCCTTGTGCATGCCAGGCAGGCACTTACACTGCTGAGCTATCTCCCTGCCCCTGGGATTTTTATTTTTAAATGTGATGAAAGTGCACACAAAACTGACCATCTTGTATGTCCCCTACCCCTTATTTTTCTTGATTCTTTTTTTTTTCAAACTAAAGATTAAATGCAAATCAGTTAAATTGTTAATGTCTCTTAGTTCATTAAAAGGGAAGATTTGTGCTAATATTGATTGAAGAAATTGTTATGACCGTATCTTGTACCCTGAGAAACTACTTTAAAGATAACATGTAATATATTAACCATTGCTATTCTCTTACTATTTTGTTACTAAATTTTGTTTTTCATAAAATTTAAAAAATAAGCTAAGGATTAAACCCAGGGCTTTTATGCTGAGCTACTTTCCAGTCCTGTTTTATTTTTATTTAGAGAGAGAGTCTTGGGTCTTGTGAAGTTGGCTAGGCTGGGCTTGAACTTTCAGTTCTCCTGCTTCAGCCTTTTGTGCCACCATACCTGACTTAGTGTTAAACAATTTTAAATGCACAGTTCAGTGCCATTAAGTATATTTTTATTGTCATGCTGACAGGGAACTTGGAAAGTATTGTGTTACACATTTTCTGTGCTACACAAAACAATTCTATTGTTTTAAGAAAAGTATCATGGGAATTACTTGTATTATATGCTTATAATTTCAGTAGGGTGAATTTAACTTTTCCTTATGTAAAGGCAATGACAATAAGGAAGAGGAGTGAAAAAATGAATAAGGCAAGATTTTAGAGAGCCTTATTTTATGAATAAAGCAGACTTTAAAGTCATAAAAATGAGTTTCACCCTAACTTTAAGAATGTTTTGATTTTTCTTTCTTTCCTTTTACACATTAGGTAAGCTGTCTACCTCTTCACTACGTTTTCAGTCCTCTTAAATTTTGAGACAGGGTCTTGCTAATTTGCCCAGGTTGTCCTTGAACTTAAGTTCTCTGTCTCCTGAGTAGATGAGATTATAGTTATGTGCCACCTCGCACACCTCATTTTCTGTATCACATTCCCTTTTGCAGAACTCCATTTTGGGTTGTGAGAGAGGTATCCGATGGTGTCACAGTTTGTTAATGCATTATTAACAACTTTATAGATCCATGCAGAGTGTAAGCGGTTTGGGAAAGCATATAATCTTCGCTCAGTGGCTGTATACGGAGGAGGGAGCATGTGGGAGCAGGCCAAGGCCCTTCAGGAAGGGGCAGAGATTGTTGTGTGTACTCCAGTAAGTATGTCTTTTGTAAGTGGCTTCTCAGCCTTCCTTGGTGTAGAAAACATGGTTGATTTGTGAAGGGAATTTCCCCTAAAATGTGGTAAGCCAGAGTTGAGAATATGCTGATGAATGGCAGCCTCTGGTTTTGTTTTAATTTTGATTGGCCGTTCAGTAAGAGCAGTAAGAGTATCTGATATATATATATATATA